TTGACATGTGCCAATGACCGGTATAAACTTTGGCTGCAATCTAAACGGCTTGCATTCTTCTTCTTCCCGTTTATTAGGCACTTTCACGTTGTTAAGTAGTGATTGCTACTCGCACTGTTGTGGTAGCCTGAAGATCTAAGGCTGAATGAAGTTTCATAAAAGAACTTCCGGAAATAGTTACGTCAGACGTCCTGGAAGCGGTGTTTCAGATATGGTAGGTGCTAGTGGCTGCAGCAGCAAACGCCACTTTCCTTGTTGCAGGGACAGCCGGTATATCAGACTGTATTTTCGATTAGTTAATTAATTAGTTTTGCTATAACACGTTTTCGTTGTGAATGTCATCTGCTTTCATGGATCTAATCGACTGTTTTCATCCCTGCTGCTGCGCGCGCACCCACAGAATTTTTTCTAATATTTATTAATAATTCAATAATTTGTTCCTTGGCTTTGAATCCGTGTCTACTTCTGAAGTCATTGGTTTCCATTGTGATGCCTGTCGATTTGATGCCCTGGAGACATTGTTGTTGATACGTTACTTCGTGCAAATGGGAATCAAACATGCGAATGGCACCGAATTGACTAGGGAGCCTGCTTTCCTGCCTCAACAAAAAACGAAATTCCTCCGTGGAGGTTGGGACTTTTGAACAGTTCACCATATCCCTCTTACAGTGCAATAAAAGACGAGGTTGATTGCTTCCAGTGTAGCACTGATATACTCAGCGGTTTTCTTGCCTCCGCTCTTTCTGCCGCTGATAATGGAGAGTTCGGAAACGTCGAACAAATACGTTTAGCATTTCACTATCTGAAACCATGGAATCAGAAGATTTCTGGAATTTATCATCGTCAGATTTTTCAGACCCATTAATACATGACGACCTCTGCAAGACTTTGACACAGTACTCTGTATGCTGCAGCTCCTGTGCAGACTGTTCCAATGATTGCTTCCTTTCCTCTTCCCTGCGAGCTGTGTCTTGCGTCTGACTATCCAATTCGGTTTCTTTCTTGGCCCAGCAGTGGTGTATTCTTCTTTCAGCATGTCCATCTATTGTTACCATGTTTGCATGACAGAAATTCTTCTCTGCCTGAGCTGCTGCTCGTTTGTTCGTCTATTTTTTCTTCCTGTTCACAACATACCCTTTTCCATGCCGCGTCAGGTATTTTGTAGTCTGAACAGCATTCCCATTTAAGGTTCACTTTTAGCATTCGTATGCTAACTTTGGAAGCACGTCTTGATCGTAGACATTCAACGTTTCAATAACAAGGGTGTTTCCTAAATAGCAATGTTCCCGGCCTTACTACAATGCACTACGGCATATTTGCAGTTCTCTTAATTTCGTAGAATTGGTTCTCTGTTGCAGAGGTCAGCTGCTTCATATAGGCGCGTTTTTGCTTCTCTTTAAGCCTGAGTGCATTGGTTTGAACAGTTTGAGGTGTCACGTGTGTTGAATATGACTGGATCTGCTGATCCATATCTAAGCCCGTTCTATACGTTGTCTTGTTAAATTCTTGGATACGGCCAGCCAAATAAAGAGACACCTTTTAACTTGAGCCCCTGAGTTTCTTAGATAAAAGTCTCACAAGGAACTTCTAAAGGTCCAGTAATAACTTCAGCAATATGGCATCATCCTGCTAGAAGCTTTTGAATTTTTTGGTGTTCTCCTGAAGCTTTTTGTTGGCCGTTGTCTACCTGCAGATCATGACAGTAAGAATCCCTTACGTTTCCTCTATCCTCAGCTCCCAAGTTAATCTAATACATATCAAGTACAGGCTGGGTTGACGGCCTTGTTTAAGTCGGCGTGTCTCGCGCACGGTTAATCTGGTATTCAGTGAATGTGGGTAACAGTGTTTCAGCATTCTATGGATTATTGAAGTTTCTCTTCATCTGTATTGTCGGTTTTCGCGGCTTCGAGACTGTTAATCACACGCATTGTTGCTGTACTTGTCGTAGGTTTTACTTCTGGGTTAAATTTTTCCTTCTTTGATTAAAACTAGCTGTAATGTTGTGGGTATTATTCAAGAGAAGTTTACAAGGGATCTAAGCATTGGCTTTGGGTTAAGGTTTACAAAGTATATCTGTTCATTTAAGTATACGAGTAGTTTGTTCGAACCCAGTAATTGCGCAACTACAATTGAATCTGGCGCAAGATCCGCACTTTAAGATGGCGAACCGCCGATTGCTAGCGTCAAACCTAAAGTATTTGCCCTCCAGTTCTTTTCAATGACAGGCTTTGTGAGTTTCCTTGGTACATTTGGAATGTTTCTGGTTTTAGGACATGATAGCAAGAGTGCTGTGTTGAGTTTTTTTAGCACACGTGAGTTCAATGGCATGCATTTTTATTAATTACACAGATTAATTAATGTATTAGAAGAAACCACAATGAACTGATTATATAAGTTTCTTCGTGTCTGTTCAGTTTGCATTTTACTCGCTGCACACGACCGCGTTCAAAACCTTTCTTTATCGCAAGTTTGCCGACGTGCGACGATTTTGTTCCCATGCCGTATAATGGCGTGATTCTTTGGTATGCTTTGTTCAGCACCGGCAGAGCCCTTTTCACCGGTTCTGCTTAGGCAAGCAGATCACTGATTCGGTTCTTCTGTTTTCCAGCGGTTTCTTCATTGATGCACTTTCCACACTAGCGTTTATCCGATATACTGTATTAAATTATAACTTTATCATAAGTTAGCATGCGCAGAGATTCTGTTCGCAAGCC